AAAATCCTATTTATTAATTCCAAATAATATAATCCATTATTTATATAATATACTAATTCTCTATAAATACATCAAAAGACTATTAAATACATTAATCCTCTCCCAAACCCTTTCAACGACCCTCTCATATATTATCTCGAAAATCTACATATTTTTATATATCGACAAAATAAAAACCTACATTATTCATAAAATATATCAAAATATATAAAAAAAATAATCGATTATTTATATCTATTTCAAAAATTAAAATTTTATAAAAATTATTAATCCTTTAATATATAATCCATTATTTAAAATATATATCTTTAATTTTAGAATATCATTCCAATTTAAGATTGTAAAATATTTTATATTTGTTTTAAAAAACATTATATTTTATATTATTTTATTCAAGGATAATATATCATCGAATATCAATAATTAATATATTTAATATTTGATTATCCCATATATTATATAATACATGTTGAAATTTATGTTAAACATATAATGTATCAATTCAATATAAAGTTTGTTCCGCAATATAGAATTTTATGGAATCCTGGTATCCTCTTCAGATTTTGAAGAATTGGAATAATGTTGATATGGGATTCCACGTAGGAATTGTCGTTTCCTTTCCTGGATTGCATAGATCCAATGATGAAAGGTCAACAATTTGTGGGAAATAACCATTTCATTTCGATTTGGAATGAGAGAATCTGCCATGCATCATCAACCACAAACATACCACAAACAGCCAAATTGCGCGTGCCTGGCAGTGGCAAGTTGCAGGACTTCTTGAAGTGATGCACCAAAGCTTTTGCGACTTTGCCCCCTGCCAATGTACCTCAGCATGTTAAACAGTTTATGATTCCTAATAGTAAATCGGAGCTCTTGCATCTTTGTAATCTGAGGTGCTTTGCAATGCTGCGTCTTTCAGGCGACTCCTTAGCGTTTGCTTCCAACTGGCCCCACAGTTTGAGCGCCAATGCCTTGAGTTTGGCCTTGTGTTGCTTCAATTATCCACTACCAAAGGCCTCTGCAACCTGAGAACAACATATTCCCATTCACCATCACCTCGAGGTTTAAGCCAATCACCCCAAAGGGAGCCAAATGTTATCTTCTTCGTGGCCTTTCCAAAGCTGTCAACCTGCCAGCTTTGCCTGATCACAATCTAACTTACTTACGCAGCTTGGCTGAAATCACTTCTGGGACTCTTCGCGTCCATCACCAAGTTCAGGTCGGGAGCTTCACCAAGTCCTCCAGACACAAAACGGTGCTGAAGCATAGCCAGTTCCTTGGCAAAGTGCCCAATTCCACCATGCTCTGAGTCTTTGATGGTCTTTGGTTGTTGTACATCTGGATAGGGTATCTTCATGTATCTTCTATATCTTCTCGTCATATCACTGTACATAAGCACGCTGGAAGCAAAAAAATATGATAATGTGGTTGGCAAGCTTCCCCAAAGAGGACTGCTAATTGCTGCTGGGTCTGCCCAAAAAGCCCCTTCTGCAGGGCATCTGCTGCCAACTGCAGTGCGAAGGTCTCGTTCGATCTGGAACAAAAGGACTTGATCTCACTCTTCTGCAATCTCAGGGAGTGGATGTCGTGCAAGGCCAAGTGGTCAAACATGGCTCCATCAACGACTTTCGATGCCATCTCTCCCAGGCTTGAGGTGACAGCAGTCCAAGCCTTCTTCAAGGCACGGTGTGCCTTCTTTTCAGCACGCTCCGAGTGAGAATATGAACGCTTCAGCTCAGCAAACCCTGCTTTGCAGTGTGCAGAATAGTCCCGAAGCATTTGGGCAGCTGCTGTGGTGGCATGTACATAGTCCAAAGAAGCACCCAGGTAGCTGTCCAGTTCACGTCGCATGTCCCACCACATTGTGTCAAACTCTTGCATGGCTTCTTCGGATGCTTCTTCTTCTACCTCCAAAAGTGCGGCAGATGTGCTCACTGCAGACCTCCGCAAAACACAACCAAATCTGCAAGATGCAATTCTAAATCCACAACTACAGTGCGGTTTCTTCGATTACTTGGGCTAGCAACGCAATGAGACCTAACACGGTCATGTTCTACGAGAAATGTTGCAATAAAGATCGAAGAGCAAAGTATGCAACACTTCCCGATCTTGTAGTAGGCATTGTAAACATGCAGAATCTTGCCTCCACACGCGTTTCAGCCTCTGCTGCAATCGCTTTCCTTCTTCAGCACCATGACGGTAAATACCCAGCACATGAGATTGGGCCTCTACACTGTACACAAGCATGTGCCATCCGAAAACACATGCAAACTGCCTTTCAAACACAAGCTGGCCGCTGGCCTTTTTGGGGTATCATGTGGGAACCCACCATCTAAATGTGCACTTGAAGTGGTTGAGGGAAGCAAACGCAGAAGTGTCTCAACAGCCAGCTAAGCCAGCTACATATCCAGAACAACACACCATGTCAGTAGATTGTTCTCATGATGGGCATGGCGGCAATGCCAAATAAGAACTCTGCAGCATATGGCTCTTCGGGCCTGATGTTTTTCTACTAATACAGTAACAAGAAGGTATTAGGTTGGAGGCCATCGCCACTAGTAGCTTCTTGCTAAACTGCGGCGCTTTGCCCAGTGGACTTGGGGAAAAGGATCCAATTAGATACAACTGACAGGCACAAATGTGTGGCTCTGGGCTGTGCTCCCCAGCAAAGGTGCTCCGAAAGCCAAACACACCATACATTCAGATACCCGCCGCATACTAGCAAATAACGACTGCGGACTGTGTATCTCCAGTTGGTGGAAGATTTGCTTGATGACTCCCATGAAGAAAAAACATCATACTATGAGAACACTTTGTGGCTGCACCCTGGGAAATGTTCTGGTTCCGCTTTGAATTCCCACTGTACCGGTTTCCTACATGCCAACATTGTACCATGTCGTGCCAACATTGGTCGATGAAGCTCAGGGCTGCGTAGGCTACGCACCACTGGTTTACACATGTTCCCATACACATTCACAGAAAGAACTAAAGAAATTTGTCAAGCCGACCTTCAAGTAGGTGCCCATCTGGTTTGCCATTTGGAGAGCATACTGCTGCACTTCATCTGTGTGAGAGAGCTTCCTGGATTGACATTTTGCTGCCAAAGATTGCTCTAGCCGTCACTTTTGATCTTCCTCCAAGCACCCTCCTACCTGCTTCTCAAACACGTCTCCAAACCATTCATTCCCAAACTGGTCCAAGTGGTCCAGTCCTCTTTGAGAGCTCTGCCACAGTGCTCTGCAGCTCTTCCAGCTCCATGGCAAAGGCTCCATGAGTGCTATTGCCTTGGCCAACTGCCATCTTCGCAGCTGATTTTGACTATGTCATAAATTGCTTGCAGGTTTCCTACCTTGGAATGGTTCTGATCCTCCTGGGTTACATGCAATTCATACACGTATGACGTATACCGTACCAAACAAACTGGGATCTATCTGTTATTCTTGAAGATATTTCGTTTCTTGCTCCAGAAACTCCAGGGTCCAAGCTACGCCATCGCTCCGTGAAGGAGTTGATTGCCCTCGTTGCAGCCATGGACGCTCTGTGCTCCAAGGTTGCTTCTTTGGCCATTGTAAACATCTCCTTGAGACGACACACCCATGGGGAGTGAGATTCTGTCCCAACCCTGAATGTTTATGTGAAACTCCCAACCTTTGTGCTCTTTCATTACAGAAAAAACAATCGTCTCGAATCGTCTCTGTGAATCCGACAAAGACACACACTAAGGTGCGCACTGCCATCCTTGAAGCAATTCCCTTCTTGATCCTTTGGCCTTCTTCAAGAAGCCCAGACTTTGAATCTTCACCAACCTGGACATAGTGCAAGGAGACTTTACACTTCTGGCAAACTAAGCCAGGGTTCACTACTGAATCAATCCATTCCAGCAACCTAAGCTTGCTTCCAATCATTGTGGCGCTACAGGGTCCTTTTTTGATGCCAATCAACCGTCTGCACCAAGTGGCGTAGTGTTCCAGCAAAAGTTGGGTGTTTTTGCCAATTATTTCCACCGCTTCCTCCAAAGCTCGCAGAATGGCGTCATCTCCTTTCCTTGGGACTTGTCATGATGCTGGAAACACACCTGAAGAAGAAAAATCAAACACGAGCAATGGGTCTCCAAGCACACTATGAGGACCTTCTCTGTTCCAAGGACATCAGCTCTGCAGCGCCTCACCTTCTACGCAAATTATATCCACCCTTTGAGCTTGCAACAGAAGCAATATAGACCAAGATTGGGCAGTGATTGGAGTACAGTACCACTGTTGAGGAACCCAACAGAGCGGCCGCGATGAGTTCAATGCCTTTAAAGTGTCCGGACGGCATCTCTGATGCAGTGGAGGTCGCAAAAAGTTCGAGCAAATCCATGCTGGATTGGATTACCTGGGTGTTGCACTGAGAGCACAAAACAACATAACATGATGATGTAACTTTATTTATGTATGTACACCTGAGAAAGGAGAAGACGAAAGCCAGCGAGAGACCAATATGGTAGCGCAAGACTGGGAGGAATAAGTAGCGGAGCACTTATTGTTGAATGCCTGTAGCTTTCGTGGAGCTGGTATCACTGCGACTGAGATCAAGATCGGAGCACAGCATGAAGTGTTGAACGCTTGCAGCTTTCTTGCTTCTCCTCGCCCAACTGGACATACTCTCACATCGGTCGCTCCCAGAGCGCTCACTCTTTGTTGCTAGGTCCTTCTTGGTATGATCAGAGCTACACAGTCCCTACGCCCTGCTCAGGACTAGAAAAATTGTCTCCAGACCCCTTCATGATGCTAATGATGCACTACTCGGCGTCCATTGCATCACTCGCATCACCAGACCCCATTTTCACTGCGTTTCTGACCCTCGCTTTGGAGCGCTCTCCCGCACCAAGCTCGGGTTCACCCTCTCAAAAGGTGCCTTTTCGCGCCCTCCCCCCCCCACACCCCCTTAACTCACTTCGTTCGCTCTAAGAACTCAAGCCTAGCCTATCGGCGTGCTTTCGTAATTACATAATTACGAGATATTACGCGTTCATGCCCTTGGATTTAAAGTTGCTGGATTGAAATCGTAATCAAAACACTAGAACCCTTGTTTCTTGCGTATCCCATAAAACGTCCAAGCCTCCGTGAATTATACTTGGGATATCTTGGGATACTTGGGACTGGCCGGCCAGACGGTGCCAGCCGGTGCCTGTAATTTGTACTTTGAGAGCTCGATGACAAACGAACTCGGAGGGTCCCAACTTTGCCAAACACACAATCAGATTCATCCAACATGGGCGTCATCGTCAGCGATTTCGTCAGCGTTCGACGTTTTGCCTCTTTTGATCTGACTCTTCCAGTCTGACACGGTCTGGGAATGCAACTTCAACTAACTATACCCGTGCCCGGTATAATTACCGGCTGTAATGGAACACTGTGTATCTCAGGGCTCAATTTTGGTTGGCCAGCCAGCGGCCCCTTCATGTCCAGCAAACATGGCTGGGAAATGTAGTTGAGCGCGCAAGTCGTCAAACTGCGACAGTTATTCAAGCTGTTGGTCTGTTACCGTTAACGCCGTTGGTCTTTCCGACCAAATGGATCAGCAAAACAGCAACAAGTAGATCGAGCGTGGACCGATATGGACCACGTGGGAGTGCTGTACAAGGCGAAGAAAATCAGACGGGCCCTGAAGCCGCTACTAGTAACAAGAAGCTACTAGTAACAAGTATGTTTTCATATGTTTTCATTTTTTTGTCGAAGCTCTTCAGTGCTAAAGGCCACAGGCCTGAAACATTGGACCAGCGCAGTCGCGCTCTGTGCCGATTCCTGGCCTAATTCATCCTCCTTCGATTGTCGGGACGGATGCCAGTCCATGGTCTTATAGGTTGTTCACACTAAGATTGCCGGCGCCAAATCGCCACAGAATCAGCATTAAATGTCTATCAAAACGAAAAACTCATCAAACTTCAACCTTCAAAAACAGTGCCTGTGCACACTCTCCGGTGACCTCCAATGTCGGCACAGCTTGGCCCGAGCAAGGGAGGCTCATCCGAAAGAAAACATCTGAAACAAAAGCAGCCAAACGCAGGCCACATGAATCACACATATTCGACATACTTTAGTTCAAGGGTTGAAGATCCGCACGGCACAGCGGACAAATCAAATTCCGTTTAATCCACATGTCGATGCAGCCTTTGTGGAAGATATGGCCGCAAGGCATCAGTTTTCTCACAACATCGTTCGGTGTGAAGTCCACCAAGCAAATGCTACCTGGAGACCAAGTTGCCAAGAACTATGTTTAACATCACCCCTTACTACTAGTAACAAGAAGCTAATTACTAGGTTGAAGGCCATCGCTATTAGATGCCTGAGCCAGGCAACACAATTTCCAGATTTCTATGAAGACAGGAGTGCACGTTTTATGACAAGCATCTCTTCAATTGCTGTGAAGAAGCATGGGGATGCACACTGGCTGTGCCGAAACTTCATTGGCGGGAAAGCCTTCTCAACATCGACTGCAACTTGAGCCTTCAGAAATCGAAGCAAGCAAGAAATGCATCACCCACAAACTCTACAATCATTTGTGCTGGCAGGAGTCACGGCAAGCACCAGCAACTGAGAAACAAAGACTATTGATGATGATTGATTATTGGCACCAGTACTGCTGGTATCTACATGACATGTGTATCATTGTATCATGTCTATTTTTGACATGGACGAGGGTGATCAAAAACAGTTCGGCCTGAGGTTCGTCCTGGAATTGCCTGTTGCTCTGCTTCCAGGTCCAATAGGACAAACAAATTACCACACTGATGCCGACACTGAGGAAACACCAAAAGAAATCCTCAGTTTGCACATCAATGTGCAAACCCGTAAGCAATGACTTGGTCTTGAGACTTGTGAAGGCAAGCTCAATGCCAGCTCTGCACACAAGTTCAGCCAACACATACGACAAGTTGCATTGTCCACACCCCTCCCTGACTCATGTGACATGGCTGATGCCGGTGCAAAAGGCATTTTTTCCTCATGCACTGGCTTGGAGGCGCTGAGAGCCAAAGCACTGTCGCACTCCGACAGATCTTGCTACAACGGGAAGGATTTTTTAAAGGCCGCTCTGCCCCCCTAGCTACTAGTGATGGCCTCCAACCTTATAGCGATCTTGCTACAATGATTCGGAAAATATTTGGAATACAAAATGATACAAATGCTCTTGCTTCATCTTGCTTCTTGATCCATTTTGTCGTCTACAAACCGGACAAATTACTGTAACTTCTGGCCTCAGCCTACAGCACAAAAATCATCCCTGGTACAGTATGGACAGGACGAATCACAGCAATGTGAAGCTAAGTGTCTTTACCTATCTCTTCTGCAGTCTACTTACCTTTAGCAAATCCAAGGCATTGGCTTTAGCACATCCAGCAAATCTGATTGAACGGTGTGCTCCTCTCATCCATCCTCATCCTCCCTGATGCCCATCGATGCTTCGAAGCTGCAATCATCATGTCCGGCCTGTTCGAAGTGAAACTCCTGGTCTGAGAGCCGCTGGTCGCGTTTAATCTGCGCGCCATGCAGAATCAACATGCCTCAGCACGAGATGCCAACATCTCGAACTGCACCGGAAGGTGCTAGGACATTATCATCCGAAGGCTAATCAGGACCAGGTTGAAGCAAACAGAAACTTCAAACTGATGACTGATTCAATTGGTTTGGGAGACTTGTAAGATCTTGTAAGTACAAAGATGACTATGGTGTATGCGTCACGATAGCATGACCAGTCATGAAGGAATTGACTTGAAGAAGTGCAACGATTGCTTGTCTCGCTCCCCCCCGCCCTCTTTTTGCGTAAGCGTACCTACCATCTCAACGAGATCGTTGATTTCAACTCCTGCTCCCAATGGGGCTACTTCGACCTCCGGCACCATTGATGCCAATCCTGAACGTGTTTTCGAATGCGAAACGCATGGTTGCCGAAGATGCTGTCGAATTGCTGTCGAAAGGTCAAGTACTTGCGGCCAAGAAGTATTTACCAAGGTACTGTTTCAGAACTTTTTCATCTAAGCACTATATAGGAGAATGAATAGCACATTATACTTGTAGCACACTCTCTGAGTACCCATGACTTGAGATGCAAGGCCCTTGATGTCTGTTCTGAACAAGGAACACCATGCCTGATCTTGGGTCTGATCTACACCTTTGGCTACTAGATTCCACTATATCTGTGGGTCTACTTGAACTGGTCGCTCGGTTGGGCTTTACCGAGTCTGGCTGATCTGTAAAGCTATTGCAGTATATATGATAAACGGGTGTGCCCGATTCAACACCCAGTCCAGAAATAGCATCTTCGCGCAAGGGGATGTACTTCGTCTTATCAAAATGCTCCTGAAGCACGCACACACACACATATATATTCTCTTTTGCCCGACAAATGCCTACGCAACTTGTGGCACAACCTTTGCAATACATCTAATCTAGCACAAGGCAACTTGTGACTTCATTGGGCTTGCCAGTGACTAAATCTCTTTCGTGTCGGTCACTGGCTGTCCTGGCTCCACTTTGCAAGCTGCAACTCACGAATGATGTCACGGTCTGAACCTCATACACTGGCAGCCAGCTAGTCTGCACATAGTATACAGTGTCTGGAGTGTGTGAAGAAGCCAGCAGTTCTAACTGTAGTGTTTGACACGTTCTTTGTTCGGAGTGAACGAAAGCCAGAACGCATGTCCTTTGAATTATTGTTTAAAATATTTAAGATGAAGTGCATGTTCCTGGCCAGAATTCAAGCCTGGCCCAAAAGCCTGTCCTTCCAGCAACTTCACAGTTCATGTGTTCCGATGAATTTCCAGTCTTAGTCTTAGTCTATGTTTTTCTTGATGTTTTTTTACGTGTTTTTTCAACCTGTGCAAATCTACTCTGGGAATTGAATTCTGCTAGGGTCCTCATACCTGACTATGTTTCTGCAGCGGAACCTCGTTCACACTGACATTGATGTGGGAACGGGGAACCATTTTTCAGGCTCATCAACCTTTTCTTGTGTTGTGTTGCTTTCTGTCAATACTGTAGATTGATTCGCACAGTGTAAAATAGCTTCCAAGAGTGGGAGGGCTTTGACTCGATAAACCATTGGATGATATTGCTTTGCTTTGTCAAAGAGCAGTGCAAACTGCAGCAGCATTCTGCATCCTACAATGTGCAGTGTACAGCGCAAAGCAAAGACGTACTCCACGCCTTAAATTGCAAAAACCATAAGAACCACTGCAGGTTGCGAAGAGTATTGCATACTTACCCAAGTGCATTGTTGTGAGCATAATCTATGCAAGTACATATAGAAGTTGGAGAGTGCAGTGCATTAAATGTGTCAAGACCACAGTGTGCACATCACATTGCAAAGGCCCAATGCAAACAATGCAATCTAATGCAATGGTACCAATACATAATATAATGTGCGATTAGGTAACCCCCACTGATTTGGTCAAGCTTTGCCCTGCTATACTGACCACCATTGCCTTCTTCTTCACGTGTATCCTCTATTGAAAAAGAACGTCACAAAACCATATTTTTTGATCCGTCTATCTAATTAGTGTTTGCCTTTGATTCGATCACATCTTTAATTGTTCGTTTCACAAATCCCTCCCACGATTTCACCAGTCTTCAGAACAGTTTCCAGGAGGCCATTGCTAGTAGGTTGGAGGCCATTGATATTAAAGGATGTGTTTCTTGCTCCTTTCAACACTGAAAAAATGTGTCTTGGAGAGCCATGCATGACACACAATAGTGCACGGACAGTTTCACAACACTAATTTGGCATGGTGTGTCACTAAATGTCACACACTACTCTACATATACCTGAAGAGAAGCTGCAATGGAGCGTATCGGCAAAGTGCACAGTTGCTGTTTGTCTTGCAACACATTCAATGTGAAACTTATCTTAACAAGACTACAAAGGGTACGCAGTCATTATATTGCATTGAACACATATTGCTCAAGCTCCATTAGGCACTTGCACTGTGACAAATAGGTTCACACACTGCATTGTGCAGCCTATAGCATAGATAATATGAATAGAATTTCTGATGATACGTATGAAGTACAGTACCAAAAAAATACTAATTGCACAGACTTTTGCTGGACATGTTGCAGTCCCGAGAAAAGCAAATGCCAATCATTGACACTGGATGGAAACACAGTTCCATGTTGTTTTAGTTTCACACCAGTCCTTTTGGATATGTACGATGCTTTTAACTTACTACTTAGCTTCTTCCTGGCATTCGCTCTCAAAAAGTGCCAAACACATTTGGAAGATTGGTGCCCTCCGACGCATATTTGAGGGCATTCTTGCCCTGACCAATTTTCGAGACACTGAGTGCATCGTGACATGGAGGAGACCTAAGGTGGCAGCTTTGGAGGTGCGCAATGCCAGCTTGACTCCTTTGTTGTATGGAGGACAACATTATGAAACACTTGATGATATGCCATATGCCTGGTCATCCTTCATTTCATTTAAGGTTCTCCTGTTGATCCTGTCCACGTGCTAGACCTCGGCTCCCCAACATTCTTTGACGCTCTTGTAGGTCACGCCACCTGGAAGTGATTCGATTCAAACGGTTGGGGTCAAGTAAAGTGTAAAGCAAGCGACCCTCTAGTGGGAATCACCAATGGTGTCCACTCTTGACAAACCGCTCCGATGCTCAGTGGTAGCCAAATGAGGCACAATCAGTGAATTCTGCTTTGATCAACATGAGACAAGCACACCTTTTTCCTCATAGAAACGACCTTCAAAATCCTTCAGGTCGTCGAATGCTATTGAGCCCGGCTGGCCTTGACCTGGTCCAAGATTGCTGACCAAATCATCGATCCAACCATACATGCCATCAGCCCCATCCCCAGCTTGATCCTTCGGCGGTTTGCCATACACATACCTGAAAATGTCAAAAAAGGACGATGGATGCAATAGATCAATGTAATGAGTTGATCAACGGAAGAAAAAAAATGGACGAGTAACATCTTACCAAATGACTCCTTCAGTCTTTAGTGACCTTCTGCCACTTCCCAACAACGCATACTGAGGAATGGGTGGAACAACGTAGTAGTAGTAGTAGTAGTAGTAGTAGTAGTAGTAGTAGTAGTAGTAGTAGTAGTAGTAGTGATCAAATTGTCTGTCGTAGTAGTATAGGCAGCGTAGCGTAGCGTAGGGTAGGTAGGGAGGTAGGTTGGTACGAGTAGGTACTGGAGCTGGGTGGAGATGATAGTGGTGGTGAGTGGGAAATGCTGATTGTCCTTGATGTATGCCCAGGTGCTTGCATGCGTTCTCATCATCCAAGGATTCTGCTTCCTTGTTCATGAGCTCCAACTTGAATGTCCGAGTCCCTGGATGCCACACATTCATTGATGCTGTGAGAGTCTCTCACATGTTTCACGGAAAGATCGGATTCCTGCTTCCCATCAACAACATTGGGGTTCCGGCATTTCCTTTACCAACAACTTCTCAGGCGTTTCGTGTAAATCTTCTTCTCAAATGGTTCACACGCTGATCCCACTTGCCTGGATGAGACTCATCTTTGCATTCGGGCAAATATTCAGGATCAGATGCTCCAAACCTTTCCAGATCACCCGGTCCATCTCCACAAAGGGCGGGCGGTTTCATACATTTCTGCTAATGTATGGAAATGGTGTTGAAAAGCAATTTCTCGAACAGGGGGTTGAACATCACAAAAAAGGGTGTCTCAATGCAACATATACATTTTTCTTGTTCCCTCGGTGTTTCTGGAAACAAGGCTGGCGGTGGCTCAAGACCTGGATGTATGGTCTCTCCAGCAAAGCGCAAGTTTGACAAAAGCTTCCGTGATCCGGATCGATTTATGAAGGCAAAGGCCGAACAATTGATTTGCATTTCCGCATACTGTCATTTGGTTGGAAAGCAAGCCGTCGCTGAACCAAAACAGAGTCAATGACCCTTAGCCTAGCTGGCACAAGTCTTGGGTATTTGTCACGGTCACACAGCTGCAGCCATGGACCAGGTTCTTTTGGGTTTTCTCTTTGGATAAGCTATGTCTTGATAAAAACAATATATCACTCCTTCGTGGCAAACTCGACCTAACCCCATCTTGCAAACCCAAAGATGAATTGATGTCAAAGCCGAAAGCTGAGAATTGATCAATGCCAAGTAGCTTGATCAGTGGTGGTGGTGACCGCTTCTTGTTGCTGTGCAATGGTTTCACGCCACGTGCTTCGAAAACAGCATCAAAATCGCTCACTGCAACTACCTGCCATTCATCCGTCTTCATCATGGTATCCAGCGGATGCCTGGTACTGAAGCAGAATATGGGAATATAATGGAATATATAACAATTTGGTGGCCATATGTGGCCATTAGAATTGTTTTCCAACAAATCCAGCGGTTCACTGGTGACATCATCAAACAAGAATCTGGTGCCACATAGTGCGAGCCGCGGTGCACGATGTCTGAGAAGGCGCAATTCTTGCCAGAGACGCACCACTTCCCTTGGAACTTGTCATAGGTCAAGGAGCCTGACAGGGCGTGCCATCTGATGATTTGGATGTGGACCCTGAGCCACATTGCTAAAGATAGATCCCCTATGCCTATACTATACACCCAATCATGTTGTAGAAAGACGGACCATGTGGGACACCTGTCGGCAATGATGCTATGAGGAAGTATGATGAATTGATATGAATTGTAGGAATGCTAGCTGGACCTGTAGATGAGCGTCGAACAATGTGTTCCAATGTATACACATATATATATAGAGCCACGGTCAAAACATGCGAAGACCACTTTAGTAAAGAGGGGTAGGTTTGTGCACAAAACCCTGCAAAACGATAAGGTCCACCTCAAAACCGATAACCCCAGCGCTGTATATGGTCATAAGTATGCGACGAACTCAAAACGCTGTAAAACGATAAGGTCCAACTCAAAACCGATGACGTCCATTTTTTAGCTGAAGAAGAATAAGGAGTTTTGACCGTCCTATATGTGATATGTATAGATATATAATTGGTTATAATTGTAATATATGCACAAGTATGCAAAGAATTTTCAGTTCTCTGAAGAACACAAACTGGTGCCCAAACGTGCCTGACGGCCCATGGTGTGGCCTGAAACTATGTCTTTGTGAGAATTGCATGCGTCCAGAGTCATCCTGTGTGCTCGGACAGTAGACGCCTGAGACACAATGTTGCAATGCGCACCAGAGTCCACTAGCAGTCATAAATTCAGCATTTTGAGATCATTTTGCGTCCGATATTCCAAGTCTGCTCCATCTCTCTACTTTCAAGTGAACGACTCTCGACCGATCCTTGCCTTCCCAGCCATGCGCCATATCGGGATTGTATGCTCTCATTGGGTAGACAGACACAGGGATGCGGCTTATCTGACAGCACTCCTTGGCATTCATGAGGACCCACTGGCCCCGTTTTGCACTTTCAATGTCCTGCATCTTTCATCACTCACAGGTTTTGGCACTTGTTACAGGTACCAGCACCATCCGGACAGTGCTTCATGTTGGCGTGCCCAGTTCCCGCGTGTTCAACACATATTCTGAAAATCCTCCGCAAGCTACGATTCCTCGCGTCTTGCCCCCTGCTGCAAAGCGGGACCTGGAACGGAGGGAGGCGACCAAGCATGGTGGAGGGTAGCCCTGGCCGCAGGGAGCTATACGTTGGCGTGAAGCGTAATACCCAGCGGTGCCGAATGTTGGGTGAGAAATCCAGGTGTACCAAATGTGAACCAAGTGGCGTACCGCAAACGAATCCAAGCACCCTTGTCAGAGGCTTCAGCCGCAATGGATCGCAAGCCATGCCCCGCTGGACAGGTTGCACTCATTCTTTTCAATGCCTTTGTGGCTGGCTAATGCTCACAGTCAAGGAGTCAAGTCAAGGCCATTATTGCAAACAAAAACTCCCAGAGTATGCTGCTTACGTCAGCTTTCCCTCAGCACCAATTCATCCGCGAGCATCTGACGAAAGCACTGCAATTACTTGCTGTAAACAAAGGTGCCTTGACATTTTCCAGCTCGTGAACTTTGGTGTCTACCTGCGTAGAATAGCCTCAGTTCTGCACATTCAAGCAAGGTGGTGCTGATACAAATTGTGTAAAACAAAGATCCAAAGCTCAGCAGCAAAAATGATCTGAAGCATTTGCTACGATCAATCTCATTGTCCACACATGTTCAAAGACTTCAGCCACCGAAGTAAAGGAAATGCTCTTCGTCTTCAAATCTGCATAGAGACAACATTACATGGGCACACAAACTGCATGTTTAACAATTGTTGGCCAGCCTAGCTACCCACCTAGAGATCGAAAAACATGGTGTATGAATGCTTGTCTCCCTTTATTTGGAGTTCCTCGACACAACACACTTTTGGTTCGCAAGTGGGTAGAGCCGGGTAGAGCTGATGCAACCTGGCCTGGTTTTGATGATAGGTCCAATGTGAGATACATCAGAGTCATAAACAAAAACACAAGCATCAAACATCATCAGGCCATCAGCGGCCAACATACCAGGCACTCTTCTTTTTTGCACATGTTCAAGCAAAGCGGCCTGGACTGCAAGCCCCCAAACCTGACACGTGCACGCACTTGTATCCTCAGCCGAGTCTGATTGCGGTCGGCCATTGAATGTGTTGGTCATGTCCATTGATTCTGCAGAATGTGCCAAGTATTTACATATATAAGTTTCCTAGTGCGGGCCCTTCTTCAATTTCCTTGAAGAAGCGTGAACTATCCTGCGTCCCAAGTAGTAGCTACCAAATACCGTTTGCTTTACTAGCTACCTACCTAGCTAACCCACCTCACCTCTACTAGCGGCCTACCCCCCCTGGGCTAAAAAGGAACTTTATTGTTATGACTTATACTTGTCGCAACAAGAAAACGTTGAATCAATCTGCAATTCACCACGCCAAAATGAGCAAACAAACCTAGTTTGCACTTGCGTGTATGGCATGCGCTTACAGGAAGGAAACAACCAAACGCAACTCAATGCAACAAAAAGCGACAAAAAGTCCATCCTCTCGCTGAACCACTGAACCGCATGTTACAAACAAACTCAACCGGCGCCCCAATCCATCTCCAAGCATCGAATATGACCGTGACCCTTCTCAAAAAGGCTGATCACCTCCGCAAGTGAGTACAGAACTCCCACAGAACCACTGCACAAACATGTTAGCCAAACACACTGCCCCTAAGCAAGTGTTGCATCACTGGTAAAATGTAGTGGCAAACTGTACTTACTGGACAGCGGACCAGCAGATCCGCGGGCAGTGGCCAGTGGCTGGACACTCAGGGGATCATGAGTCACTTACAGTCAAGTAGGGTTTCACCATCAAATTGCAATTCATGCATTGTCGGAGGGGAAGGAATTATACGTGATTGTTCTCCAAAGCATCGTCGGCCATACTCTTACGCTTGACACCGATCTGGTACCAAAAATTAAGTATTGTTGCTGTATATAGTCGTGATGCGGTGCAGTATTACTTGTTCTCTATCAACATGCAACATGGAATGTTCCCGGGGATTCCTGTCAAGAGTCAAAACCCATAAATCCCCACATGTCACATATTGTATAATTTACTGAAAGCACGGCCACTCAATAGGCCATGTTCTTGTGCGAACACGTGATATGACATATGTAGTGTTTTCCTCAACCGAATGCAAATCGATTCATAGCAAGATGCAAATATTCTGAACTGTGAACAAACCCATATGGATCTCTGATTCTTCACCCTTTCAGAGGTAGCATGACGATTGAGGACCGTCGGGTGCCTCGTGGAAGCCTGTTGTGTCTGGTCCAGAATCGAGTTCTTCCGTGCTTTAATGAGTTCCCAAAAACATTGGTACTGACCAAACATCAACATCGCGTAGAAGTTACCAACATGATTGAAATAGAAGGCTGCAAAACAAAGCAGGATGTACCAGAATACCGCCCCCCAAGTCAAAATCACGCACACCGGCTCTGAGTGCCTGGTTGCTCTCGCACGCAATTGGAGTATCTGCTAAGCCTTGCAGTCCATGACCAATGTCCCATTCTTGCTCAAGACCTGAGGGCTCACAAACCGAGAGCAAAACAAAACAAATTTAATTACTTGTTGTGGGCCGCTAGTATCTTGTATTTCGGCGTGAATAGCTAGTAGGTTAAGTGGTAAGCCACTAAAGTAGCTGGACAGGCTTGGACGCAAAAGGACTCAGGCTGATTTATTTGATTAATTTTGATTCCAACACTATTGTCACAAGTTAGTTCGCATCTACCCAAACCCTTCCCTCCACCCTAGCGTCTGCTCTGTCCCATTCAGTGCCCCTCTTTCTTCTTCAGAGGTCTACTGTCTGCGCCACTTTCCATCCTCAACCACTTCTTTCTTCAGGATATTTCTCATGGGGCCTCCCATCTGGGGCCCTGGGGTGGATGGGGCCCCAGAATATTTTTTTATTATTCAGGGGTGTAGGACCTACACCTGGCCAAACATTATTCCATATGTGAACAGTTCTCAGGAATAATTTAAAGCAACTTCCAACATGCAGTCTATATGGCATCCTGAGGGAGGCAGTGTCTTTTTATGGCAAACATGTAGTAAAGGAAAGGCCTGCACACCACAAGCTTTACTAGTACTTGCGCTGCTAGAACTAACCCACAGATACCAACCCCTCACCAAAAGCCTTACAAGTTTTTGCCCTCCTGTATACAATCTCCATAACCACCAGAAATTATTCCAGGGGTGGTTCAGTTCTGGTTGGGGCCTAGAATAATATCGCCTCCCCTGTTTGCCTCTATACCTAACCCTGCCTGCCACTATGCCTCACCCCAAACCCATCACAAAACCCTTAAACCTCAAGCTTTCCCAACCCATACCAGAAGACTTAATTACTAGTAATTTTCATTCTGCTCCCTATTTCCTGCGCAAGATAAAACTATTCAGGGGTGGTTCTGTTCTGGTGGGGGCCTGGCATAACATCACCTGCCCTGTCTGTTGCTGGAAAGAAGAAACCAACCCAAAACATCAAACCTTACCAAAGCTTTCCAACCCTAGTTACTAGTATTTGTGCTCCTAGGCTCCGAAGACTAACCCAAAATACCAACCGGGGAGCTCCGAGCTTTCCAACCCATCTGCAAGGCTACGAGTTCACCGCTTCCACTTTTCATACGTCTCAGCTCTTTTGTCTGTTCCTGCTTGTCAGCTGCTTTTCCGTACTGGTCTACCCCCTGTGTTTAATGGCCATGCACTCAAGAACCTCACCCCACTACACATGGTTTCCAGAAAACCCTAAGGGTGATTCATAGAAACCAATAGACACATGAGGGAGGCAAGTTCTTTTTTATGGCAAACATGTAGTAAAGGCAAGGCCTGCGAACCACAAGCTTTACTAGTACTTGTGCTGCTAGAACCAACCCAAAGATACCAACCCCTCACCAAAAGCCTTACAAGTTTTTGCCCTCCTGTATACAATCTCCATAGCCACCAGAAATTATTCCAGGGGTGGTTCAGTTCTGGTTGGGGCCTAGAATAACATCGCCTCCCCTGTTTGCCTCTATACCTAACCCTATTATGCCTCACCCAAAACCCATCACAAAATCCTTAAACCTCAAGCTTTCCCAACCCCTTGATGAGGAAGTGAGGAAATGAGGATGTGAGGCGACGAACAGGTCGAAGTGAGGCCAAAAGGGGGTCTGTAAGAGGAAGTGAGGCCAAAAGCGCAAGGTCGAAGGCGACGAACAGGTCGAAATGACGACGATCGCTCATGTCTGCGGCAAGTGAGGTTCTAGGCTTAGCCTCATGCCATTCGGAAAAAGGAAAATTGCACAGGTACGTCGGCGAGCGCCCCCACCGATATCAGTGTTCAATGCAAGCCTCTTCGTTGGGCTGGTACTTGCATGAACAACCAGCCCCCCTGCTGAAAAGAAAAATCCAAAGGGATCCCTGTGATTACAAGGGGCACACACACACGTTTTGATGGCCTCCCACCCACTAGCTAGCTCTGACACGCGTTCCGAAGCGATACCGTTCCCGCGTTCCGAAGCGAACTATTTTCTGCGTTCCGAAGCGACTCCCTCGCCCAGCGCGGCTACCTGTGTCAAGACGTCTTCTGTCACCGGCGGACTTTCGTGTCCACACCTGGGCTAGCTTCCGCCGTTTAGACCTTTTGCTCAGCCACGTCGACGATGCATGATACTTCACTACGAACTTGTTCTCCACGGCCTTCACCCAATCTTTCGACCGGGCCTTGGTCACCACCTCCTCGATGGTCAAGGCTGGGGTCTTGGCTCGCTAGTTCCAGCATTTGCCCAGCACTTGTCCGGGCCCCTCATTCAAACAAACCTCTATCTTGTGCCTCCCGGGCTGTGCAATGACCAAGTGCCCTCCCTCACCGCGTTCATCCACTTCCGGTGGTTTCGTGAAATCGTTGAGTCCCTGGATCCCCTTGTTTCCTGCTGCTCGGGCGATGTCTCCACGGCTGCCCTTCTTGTCCTTGACCGAGGTGGGGATCCAGCAATATTGCAACGGACGCTGAGCGAGGGCTCGGTGGCGATGTTGTGGCCTCTGGGCCTCCCCATAGTGCAAAGGCCGCCAGTATAGGCTGCGCGCCCTTACCAAAAGCATGTAGCGGACGACGCGCCGTCGCAGTCCCCCATATAAAATCGCCCCCGTTTGACGGGACTAGGGCCGTCATGGCTCTGGACCCCAGGACTCCACAGTCCACGTCGATTGATCGAAACAAAAGCCGTCGGTTCGACGTTACCTTATCTGCCTCGAACGAACCGACCGTTCCCTTCAACCCTTCCCCCTGCGTGTGGGCCAGCGGGACTAGTGCTCGAACGCTTCGACGATCTGCACCATGCCGGTCTCCTTGCTCTGGTGGCTTCTCCTTCAGCCACATCACGCGACTCTGGAGTTTGAATTCGCTCGCGTCGAGGGCCGCGATGAGCCAAAGCAGAGCCGCACCAAGCCGCTTGACCGCGACTAACCCCACTTTAGGCCGCTGGTCGCCATCACGCCTGGGGCACGTTTCCACTCCTGGCCTGGAGGTCATGCATCGCATCCGTGATGACCGCGTAGAAGACCGAAGTTGTCCACCTCAACCTCGGTAAGATGCCAGCCATCCAGGAGAGCCGTCCAGTGATGGCCGTAACTTGCGTCAACGAGTTTCCATGCCAATGTCACAAGTTTGTCGTGCTTCTTGTTGTTGTGAGTAGGCAAGTTTTTGCGGACATCAGAGAACTTCCGGCCAATACGCTTTGGTTGCAAGCGGGAGCTTTTGAAGGTCCTTTTGAAGGTGCTTTTGAAGCACTCGAACAATTTCCACACAAGTGTTAACGGGTGTCCATGTCAAAAGTCTCTATGTTTTTCTGGGCGGTAAAAATTCCGCTAGCACAAACAAGCATGATCAAATGCCAGCATCAACCACTTGACAGCCAGCTGAAACAGTGCCACTTGCCGAGGATGCAAGCATGTGCAAATGCCCCAAACTTGGAGCTGCAATGACGTGTTAAACTGCATATTTCTTAACTACCCGCCTGTCTGCCCATTGAGTGGAAAATTAATAAAAAGCAATTTGGGAAATTCTCACAACTCTGGAAACGTCAAGGAAAGACAGGGAATGAAGGAGTTGGAACAGGAAAGTATCTAAAAATATGGAACTTTCACATTTTCCAAAAACCCAAAACTTCAAGAAATGTACTCAAAACTCTTCAAACATCAAGGAAAGACAGGAAATGAATGAATATGACCAGCAAGCTATCAACAAATTAAAAACTAACTAGCTACTTTTTCTACACTTTTTCTCCTCTCCCCCTGTCTCACGTTCGAGTTCCTTGGAGGGGCTTCCTTAGTGCGCCCCTGGCCCCTCCCTGGTGCTCGTGGCCACAAGGACCTGGAGACCCCATGGCCGAAAGGGTGCCTGTGGTGACGATGTCTTGGCCCGGTTAGTCTCCCCGTGGCCCCAACGACATCGGCTGCCCGAGGCCCAAAAAATTGATTTTTCACTGAAATCCTTCAATCTCTAATCTTTAGACACTTTGCTGGTCTCTGCAGTCTCCATTCCAGGTACTTCTCTATCAGCATCTAGTCTCAAATCGTGGAACACATCCAAGACCGGCTCGACATGCTTCGATCATGTAAATTATTCCAGGGTTAGTTGTCATGAAATTATTTCATTTGTGTCTCAACATAAAGAGGCCCCCTTCAAGATTATTTAATCAATATTGTACGGTCTAATTATTCCGCAAAAATTATTCCACTATGTGACATGCCCCCCTGGAATAATTACTTAAGGTGGCCACCATACTTATATAGGATCCAGGGCTTACAAAGCTAAGGTGCGACTCTGCATCCATTCTATCAGCTACATAAGTGGCAAGAACAAATAAACGGTTGCATGAGAAAGGCACAGCGGTGCAGCAAACAAACTCCACACATTGCCACAATTATTGTCGGAAGAATAAACCGTCAAGCGCTTCAATCAAATCATCTTTGAACTCCCAAATCAGCCAAACCAAAGCTGGTACACATCTATCAGAAACACCCCGAAACCACAGAAATCTCCCACAGAATCAGCCAAAACTCATCACACCACCACAAAGGAACACATGAAAACATAGGCAAGTACGACGGAAAGGTTTGAACACCAGGAAGAAGCATCCGAACATAAGTGGACAACTACATTGGCCACCTAGCATGCGGCCTTGGATTTGCCCAACTTCTCCAGGCAACTCTCTGCGCAAGACTCCTCAATCACAGTCACCCGCTCGTGGGACATCAAGCACTTGTTGGTTGCCAGGTTCTTCAGCCGCCTTAGTGCTGACCGCACAACTGAATTACAAAGTATCAGTTATATATAACATGTGCGAATCGCTCTGATCTGGAATTACAAACATTGATTCATAGACACTGATGGCGCAAGTTTAACATGGGCATGCGCCGACCAACAGATTCCATCATGTGAACTACTAAGGTTCTGGGAGAGGTCCCATCAATCGACTGTTACAAACCGACAAACATGCTCTACAGCATGGCATGCATAGCCCCTGCAACAATGATAGCATCGGCAAGCATGCTCCCTGCAACTGCTAGATGGGTTCCTTCAAGCATGGCAGCACATTTGGTCCCGAGGGCTTCTTGTTCTTGTCATAGTAGAACTCTCCCGGAAGCGTATGAGGGCCACTTCTCAAGTGGAACTTGTTTTCGCCACCTCAGATGCGAAAGCCGTGGATGAAGGGGCAACTTTCCCTACAGGTAGGACAACTTGCTCGGCAATTGGAGAATTCGTGCACAGTCTGCATGCTGATTTGCCGCAAGGACAAGGGCCTTTGGGTTCCAAGAGCATTTAACAGTGCAAGTGATTATAGTGATTATAATGTTGTCTCGTTTGATATGTTCCCATGTCCCAGGCCGAGGGTCCGATTGGTTCCAGTTTGATATCTTCGCCTTCAAATCCACTGCACTGCAAATGCAAGCCCATGACGAAGGCCTTGTCGCTCCTCTCGCTTCGATCCTCAAAGCCAGTTCCCTGTTCCCGTCATGTCAGGCGGAGGCCATCGCTAGTAGGTTGGAGACCATTGCTATTGGAAACTTATGAACTTGACTTTCCCCAAAAACCGGCAGCAACCGAATCGTCCATGCAAAGGCTGCAAAATGTTCTTCAAGGAAGCTCCGCCCTCAGGCGGAGGAGCTTCTTTATTCAGCTTAATAGTGCAACATGAGTTGAACAAAGGGAAGGGTGACACTACAAATCGTTGGACAGCTTACAACCACCCTGCAACAAAAAAACATTTCCTCACTTCTACATACAAAAATGACACTTCTGTTCATGCCAGTGTTCAGTCCTTACAAAATCAAAGCTCAAAACGGTGTTAACAACGAAAACAAACACAACAGCAGCAGCAACTGGCGACTTGTAGACCCACATATGATTCCTATGATAAGATACCAAGCAAACCAAGGACGTCCAAGGCAAATGAGACTCTCGTCGTCATGTCTGCTATAAATTGAAATAGCCCAAACAAACCTTGCACAACAAAAGTTGGCGGTAAAGCATTTTGTGTTTTTCTTGAGGCCGTTGGTTTAAGTTTATGTTCCCCGCAAATATCTTTACATTGAAAATCTTTACACTTGCGCCCCGACTCGCCGAGTTTCAAATTTTTGATTGTTTCCGCTGTGGCACGGATGAATGTAGATATTGTTGCTTCCTTGCATGTTCACATCCAAACATCGGTGATCATATTCGCTCCGGAGTTGTGCTGTGTCTTCGTCCCAGTACCATTTCCTGAGATGTTTCGCTGTCTCAACACATACTTTCGACTTTCGAGCATTAACATCTCAAGAAACGACAGAACAAACAAAACGTCCAAAGAGCCATGGCCAAAGGGAATACACATAATTACAACAACTTGAAAACCTGTCAAAAAATAGTGCAAACAAGGATCTGATTGTTGCCACCATGGCACTCATGCATGTAAACATTTTCAGTGCCCGGGTGGTAGTCCAAACACTTGAGATCTCTGAGGCTGATAATCTGGCCATCGGCCATAAACCATAGTTGGTTGTCTTGGCTGCTACAGGTTCCAGAACTCTTGGAAAAAAACTATCCAACCGATACAATGGTGTGGTCGCTGGCAAAAAAACAGACTCGTAAATTGCCAACTCTGGTCAAGCTGCTCCCATCGTGGCAACTACCAGCATACACATTGTTACCCTGGAAATCGTAGTCCATGCCTGGAATGACAAGCAAAAAAGAAACACACATGTCTTCAATACTCAAGGACTGGACTCTAACGAATGAGAACTGGTCAACTGGTCAACCAGAAAAGTGACTTGGCCTGGCTGTAACCCATAACATGCTTGGCAAGAAACACTTACCCGACCAACGATCTGGCAATCTCCAAGGGATAATCTGGTTGATGCTGAGGCATGATCCACTGCCAACCTAAACACGCCGAAACACAAAGAATCGCTGGAGCATCTCGCTTATTGGAATTCCACACCAAAACACTAATGCAGCGTAGGAAGCGACTAGGGTCAACGTCTGTTTCGGCGGGAACCAAAAGGTTTGGTTTGGCCACTATGTTTCGGCAACCAATGCCAAAATGTCTGTTTCGGCAACCAAAGGGTCTGCTTTGGTAACCAAAAGGTCTGCTTCAACAAACAACAAGGTTTGTGTCGGCAAGGACATCGACGGCAACCAAACAGTTGCTCAGGTGCCTAACTTAAAGTGTTGCAAAAACACAATGTTGAACACATTCCATGACATGTTGTTGGATCGATGACAATGTCGCGAAGTCGGTGACAATGTTGTGATGCCTAAAAACAAAGTTGTGAAACTGATAGGGACACCTGACCCCTGAAGAAACAGCTGCTTGAAGCTACGAGGAATGCTTGGTTGCTGAAATGGTTATATAGTTGCAGAACACCTGGTTGCTGAAACGTTCACTGTTCAGCCGCTGGTCAGCGGGCTCTGACCAGCCTAACCTTCCGAGCTGCTTGCTCATAAACTATCACAAACTACTGCCAGTGGAGCAAAGGTCAACATGACTGCTGCTATGAACTGTTGTTCTTTGATTACTGTTACTACTCTAATATATGATTAATATATTCTATTGTATCCTTGTGAAACACTGCAACGGAGTCCAAACCAAGGTGCATTTGTGATCTGCACATGCCCCGGAACATCGAAGCGGTGTTCCACATGGTCCTAAGCTCACCAAATGACAAAATGGCATCAATATGTGTTTCTTACATTTTCTTAGTTCTTGCCTGTGGCCCTGCCTCTTTGATTTTATAAATAAATAGGCACCTACCTCATTGAGTAAGGGAGAAGTTCGGTCCTTGCTACTTAAGCTCCTAGCTGCTGCTAGCTAGGACGAGGATAGCTCACGCTCGCACTAATGATTTGGTTCCCAGATTTTTGGGGGAAACTAAACATATCGTTGTACTGGAAGCTCATTTTGGACGTGCTTGAAAGCCTCATGGCTGGCCAAACCGAGCTTCACCGTATGTGCTGGCCGGCGTGCAGCTAGCTGTGAGGCCCAAGCGAGTCCCGTGGTTGAAGCCTTCCAAAGCGGCGCTGAGCTCAAGCAGTTTTCTCCGTCAACTGTTTTTGTTCAAAACCCGGGGGAGTAGGCCGCTAGGAGGTGTTGAGGTAGTAGCTAGAGGTAGGGAATCGCTAGTAGAAGAGATAGCTAGTAGCTACAAGTATATAGCTACTTCCGACAGGACGCAGGATAGCTCACGCCCTCAAGGCGGCGTAAATAAACTTTCTTGAAGAAGCGCTCGCACTAATGATGTGGTTCCTAGACTTTTTTGGGAAACTTGTAGAATATATTATACAACTAAAAGAAAATAACTGGGACCATATCTATCACAGGCGGATTGTCAGGGAGGTGGTCCAACTCCTTCTTCGAGGGAACGGTGCTGCAAGCGCGGTTGCAAATGCAACAGCCACTTTCACATCTTGTAGCAACAGTTTAATCGGACAGGCGTTCATTTAAGGTTGGTAGCTTTCGCCCGAAACAAATCTTGGGGCTCGTGAAGCACTGCTGCAGCTTGAGCATTTCCAGTCAGAACAAAGGATTCAAGTCGTCTAAAGTATAATATAATATATATATATATAAGCACGGTAGCCGGGGATCTCAAGCTGAAGGGCTTATGGCACGAACGCTCGACGACGGCAATGGCAAATGCGAATGGCTAAAACGAGTCCCTCGGTCCCAAATGCTTCATGAATCCACTATCGTTGAATGAACCACAAGAAGGTGTTCTTCTTGCATGCCACCTGATCTCCTTTGGTTCCTCTTGTCTTCAAACCACAAAAACACGCCAACAAAACAAAGAAACGCAAATCTCTACTGCTGTGAAGTGGTGTCGTTCTGTATTGTGGTGTTTTCCAATGGCGATTGGCCCATAGTCCTTCGTCGTCTTGCCGATGACATGGTTGGATCCTCAACTATCCTCCAGAATTGGTCCATGTCGTAATACAGCATGAGTTGCCTCAGTTCTTTTCCCTTAGTCAAACCATTGGCTAACTGTGCTTCACTATGTACCCATCGTATAGTGACATTATTTATGTTTTGTGCATCTTTGATACGCATGAGTGTGATGTCGACTCGGCGTTCTGCACCTTTTGGACTCAGCACCTCAGTTCGAAGTTTGTCGTACACATTGCGGCTGTCTGTGACAAGACAACCTGGGATTTGATTTACAAGGGAATTGGGCTCTTGCATTCGGAAAGGGAGACCTAGCATCTCGCCCATCTGGAACCTACAGAAAAACAGCAAGTCTTCTCCGCGCACTGCTGCCATGGCCTTGCTGGCCCCAGGACTTGAGCAGATGCGACTGATTTTGGGAGACTGCCATGCCAACAAAGTCACTGCACACAACTTCCTGTGAGAAGTTCCTTGGAGGCTGCTCCGATGATAACACCTTGGGCGCTACCACCACCAATCCTGTTCTGATTGGCTGCGTCCACCCAAGACACCAAAATAATCTTATTCAAATCTACTTTGTGTATTCTCAACTTCTGTTCTTTCATGTTGCGAACTTGGTCAAGCAAGCGGTTTGCTCGAAACAGAGTGTCCACGGTGCTTTGGTTCACTTCTGTCAAAAGGAGGCTGACGTCAGCAGCGAAGTGGGGTGCCACCTGTTGGCAGTGCCAGCTGATACCACCGAGCAAGCCCCGCAATTGAGTCTTCTCCAATTCATCTGTCGGGGAGTTTCGTTCTCGCTTCCTAGATGCTCGAATGTTGATGGCTGGGATGGACCCCACACAATGTTTCTGTGACATCGTATAGGATCCATCTTGCTCCTGCTCTATCAACACACCACACTGCACAAAGCGGCCTTCCTCCCAGTCACTCCACTTGAATTCATCCTTGATGGCTTTCTCTGTTGCTACCCAAACGGGATCCGCTGCGCATCCTGAAAAAAGGAAGTCGTCAACGTGTCCTGAAATGATACCTCGCAGCTTCCCATCCTTCACTAAGGTCCAGCAGCAGGGGTCACTCCAACATCGTCGAAGTCCTATTTTGCTGAAAAAGGCGTTGACACTGCGGTACCATTCTAATGGTGCACCCACCAATCCATAACATGCTTTCCGGACCCGGGTGATGGAACCCGGCCCCAAATTCATTGCTGCACATATTTCAGGACATGGAATGCTCCAGTCACATCTCCCTTTTTGGTGCTCATGCCCATTGATGCTGCGATCTGCAACTGAATCTGACGGGTCTGTCTGGTGGTAGTCGGTGAATGAGTGGCTCGAACCTCATACTTGGGGTCCTGGAACCCTTGTAGAACTGCACGAGCCTTGGCTTTTCGAGTACCATCATCTTTAATCTTCCAGGTGAAAATCCATGTCATGTTGACTGCGTCCTCCCTGCGAAATCTTTTGTCTGCTGGCAAAGCCTCAAAAGCTTTTGCAGCTAAGAAGTTGGATACCTCGGCGCGCTTGGCCTGGTCAACCTGAATCTTTTCTTCAGGAGTCATCCGGCGTTCTGAGATTTCCACAGCTCGTCGTTTGAGAGCTCCAACAAAGAACGCAGGTAAATCCTTCAGTGCTCTGTCTGAACCTGCCTTACTGGTAGGCATCTCAATTTCAATGTGATAAATCTGGTCTTGCTCATTGCTGATCTTGGTTTCTGTGAAGTAGGACTCATGTACCAGTGTAGACCAGTGTGGTGCTGCTTGAAAGCCACTGTCTGCTGGTCTGTTGTCCTGTTGAGTCCCGATCCTGAGGAAGGTCCAGATGCGACTGGTCTCCATGGGGGACTTCTGCTTCTGCGTCGGTCTGTTGGGTTGTTGTCTTCTTTCCGCTGTTTCTTCTGGCTCGAAGGTGTTGGCTCTTCAGGACTGTGTTTTCCAGTGACCCGACATGAGGGTTGCCATTCATGTAGGGGATTGCTGGCTCTACGCCATTCTGCTTCACTTGGTTGTTCTCGCAGATCTTCGTAGTCATTCTTCCCCAGCTCCTCGGCCACTATAGGAAAGTCCCAGGTGGGTGTTTCCCGTGGATCATGTAGTTCTGTGAGGGTCGTCTCTCGTTCTGAAGCAAGTCTCAACTGCTTTGGACAGCATTTCAAGAGACGCCGGCCTCGTACGAGCCACACGGAACTGCCTTGTTGTAGATGTCCTTGTTCATCTCTCTTCTGTTCCACTGCCAAAATTCGAGCTGGGCCTACAAAACGGCCTTGTCCGGTTTTGTTCTGTTGTGCACCTTCCCCTGTCAGCTGTTTGCGCCAAATAAAAACAAGACCTCCTGCTGAAAAATCCAAAGATCGACGATGCTTTGAATGTGTTGCACGTTGAATACGTTCAGCTGCAATCCAGTCTAAAGAGGCTTTTTCAGCTTTCAGTCGTAGGTTTTGGTCCCTCTCCATGGTCTCGGTGGCCAGGGGCAGCTCTCCTGGTGTCTGCAGGTCTCGTGCTGGTGTAAAGAACCTGCCATGTTCATCAGGTGCTCGGCCCAAAACAAATTGTATGGGAGTGAAGCCACGGACGCTTTCCCTATGGTTCAAGGTCCGAATGGACTCAGCCAAGATCTGTCCTGGTGTCAGGAATGGTGCTTCGGCCACGAGGCACCCCATCACATGTTTGATGGCTTGGATACTGCGCTCACACACTGAAAGTTTCCAGTGTGCTTCTCCTGGTATGAGATCTAAGAAAATTTGGCGCTGGTCGCAGTAGCTCGGCTGCGGAATGCCCCGTCAGGGTCGAGTCGAAGTGAAGGCTGAGAGGCTGACCACCCTGTTTGCTCATGTGAGGCGGTTGAAGAGGGACAATGACCAAATGAGAATTTGTGCTGCAAAGCTCAGTGGTTCATCCTACACTTCCCTACAGAAAGCCATTGCCATGGTGACCTTGCCAGAGGAGGAGGAGCCCTTGGAAAAGGGTGAGGAAGCTTCCTTGGAAAAGGGGCAAGCCTTGAAAAAGGACATTGCTGCAAAGCTGCCCTTGCAAAAGGAAAAGCTGCTGGTGAGATTTCTGTGGATTCTCATGGTGTGCCTCTGATCTTTTGCACACCAGACAAGGCAGGCAGCTCCCCCTCCAGACCAAAACCCTTCATCAACAGAAGGGAAGGCACCATGGTCCATGGACATAGTTCCCAGGCCTTGCAAAAGGCATTGGGATATGGTACCACTGAGCCAGCAGCAGCCCTTGCAAAAGGGAAGGTCCCTGCCAAAACCCTTGCAAAAGGGAAAGGCAAGAGCAACAATGCCTCTGCAAAGGCCCTTGGAAAGGGGAAGGGTGACAAAGCTGCTGCCAAGGCCCTTGCAAAAGGGAAAGGCAAGGGCAAGAAGGCCTCTGCAAAGGCCCTTGCAAAAGGGAAAAGGGATGGCAAAGCCCCTGCAAAGGCCCTTGGAAAAGGGAAAGCTGCTGCAAAGGCCCTTTCAAAAGGGCAAAAGAGGCCCCTTGAGAAAGGGAGTGAGGGCCCCTGGTATGCCTTGAGAGAGACAAATGCCAAGAAGCCCTAGAGAACATATATCACAGGTGTCTTGGCACCAGGGAGTGGCCACCCAAGGAAGCTTATTGTGGAGGTTCCAGCCACTTGGAGCTCTCAGCATGACTTGATTTGCAACAAAATCATGAAAGCCTTGGAAAAGGACAGCGTCAGCAAAGCAAAGGCCTTGAAGATGAGAGAGGAGCCAGTGGCAGCCTACCCTTGAGATGCTGTTGCCAAACACCCTTGCCAAAGGGTGAAGAGCTTGCTCACCCTTGCAAAAGGGTGCAGCCCTTGTTAAAGGGCATGAACCCTTGCAAAAGGAAGCCGCCCTTGATAAAGGGCATGAATCAATCCTTGCAAAAGGTGTTCCTTGCAAAAGGATGGAAGCAGCCCTTGATAAAGGGCACAAATCAATCCTTGCAAAAGATGTTCCTTGCAAAAGGATCGAAGCAGTCCTTGGTAAAGGGCATAAATCAATCCTGTTCCTTGCAAAAGGCTGGAAGCAGCCCTGGGCAAAGGGTGTGACCTTGAAAAAGGATACCCTTGGAAAGGGTTCTGCACCAAGACCTTGAGAAAGGGTTTTGTTAAAGCTAGGCCTTGGAAAAAGGTTTGTACATATGTACATGTATAGCTGGATATAGTGCTAGCATCTTGGAAAACAGCTGCTGCTGCCGCCGCCGCCGCCGCCGCTGCTGCTGCTGCTGCTGCTTTTAGCTGCTTTCTGGTGTTGGTTTCTTCTAGTTGTTTTTTCTAGGGAGGTGTTGTTGTTTTTCTTCTTGGTTCATGTGTTGGGTTTTGGTTTTGTGGTGTGGGTTTGGTGTTCATGCCTTGATGCACCTGCAGCCATTTGAGCTACAAGCGGCTCAGCTGAGCCATCTTGCAGGGAACGGACTGGGAGGAGGAGGAGTGGGAGGAGGAAGAAGGATGAGGAGGTGTCTTCAGGACCCCCCTCCTCCTCCTCCTCCACCTCTACCAACGAAACAGATGTGGCCCCTGCCACCAAAAGCAATGCCCATGGGAGGGTTTGGGGGCAGGGGTCCACGTCCAGGGCCAGGCAGGCAAGGAGGGCTGCACAGTTTGGCAGTCCATCGTGCTCCTGCCCTTCCTGCTCCAAAAGGGCTTGCAAAAGCCAAAGCCAAAGGGCTTGCAAAAGCCAAAGCCAAAGGGCTTGCAAAAGCCAAAGCCACAGGGCTTGCAAAAGCCAAAGCCAGAGGTGGCAAGCAGGAAGGTGATGGCCCTGGAGACCTTGCAAAAGGGAAGAACCTTGCAAAAGGGAGGGATCGATGGAGGTGGTTGTCGCTTGAGCTGTAGAGGGTGTGCTGCTGTGTTGGTGAGTTTGTATCTCCTGTGGTTGGTGACTTCGAGATTTGTGTTGGTCTTCGTACGAACTCTCATTAAAACACTCTCGACAATACCTTTCTTCTCAACAAGGGATTGGGGGGAGATCAGGTGTGCCTCTGTGTCCGCTACGCTGCAAAGCCCCTTCCTTTCTCCGGCGGACTTCAAATCAGGAAGGAGCTGTCTCTAGATGTACTGGTCTAGGCTTGGCACTGGATTCGTGGCCTTTTTGGCTTGTGAATACCAGGCATCACACAGAGGCAGCAATTGGTGACCCGTGCAGGAGCGCTCTAGTCTAGTTGTATGACACGAGTGGGATCAAGCTTCCGAAAAACAAGCAGGTCATTTTCGAAATCTGTCAGCGCTCCCACAAATCTCAAAGTTTCAATCGAAAACAAAATTGGGCTGGAGCGGCGGTCCAAAAAGTATCAACTCGCCTCCACGGCCACCAGCCTGTACATTGAGCCATGCCGTCGACATTCACTTGTCGCTGGAAGAATTTCCAAACCCAAAAGTGGGCCTCATGGTGTTGCCGATTCGAGCCACACCTGAATGGCCGTGTTTGGATTGTGGTTGAGTTCCATAAGTTTCTCGCCCGCCGGAACGGACCCTAATAAGGTGCGCGTGGCACCGCCGTCCAAGATGGCCATTCCTTTGGATACAGCTTCTTGAGTGGTCAAACCTCCTGAGGCTACATTGGCGGAGTCCAAATCTGTGGCGCTGCAAACAAAAGGCGCGCTCTCCTCTTCATGAATTTCATGAGCACTGGCATTTTGGTTCAGTGCTCGCTTGGGGCATTGGGCCACTTTGTGTCCCATGACACCACAGTTCAAACATTTGATCGTAGACAACGATGGAGCTGAGCGATTGGCGAATGCTGGCTTGACAGAAACACGGTCAGCCTTGTAGTACTGTCGGCTCATTTTGACCTGGTGCTGTTTGGCTCGAGCTTCACGGAGTGTCTTGCGGCCCTGATCCATCGGGCCATGGCTTCTTGAGCGTCCTGTTCGGCCTCCTCCATGAGCCTTCTTCGTTCAAACCAGTACTGGCCAGGTAGTTCAGATCTGGGCCTTGTCGGTCCACCATCGAAACTTCTTCGTCATCCTCGAGGGCAGCATCGACCGTCCATGCTGAGCTACGACCTGATTGATCCTTGTGCTTCAGGTCGTGATCAGGCCACTGATTGCGAAGTTCCTGTGCAACTCGCTCAACTGAAAAATCATCTTTCAGCGCTGTAAGGATAAGGTTCAAGAGAAGCCAATCCAGCATCCTGCAACAGGAACCATCCTTGAACGTCCGCGATGCTCCCACGTGGGAGCCCAAGCATGTGCATGCCAGTCATGGGAATGAGGTTGTCCCCCAGAGCCACTATTCCAATCGTAAGCGCCCCAAGAGCCATAGTGATCCCATGACTCCTCTGCATCATGAAAAGGCTGCTCCTCCTCACCCTCATTCTCCTGCGACTGGGATCCCCCTGACATGCCCATATGTGACCCTGTTGATCCGGCTTGCTGTTGTACACTCCAGGCTGATGCTGAGGTGGCACCTCCGGTTCTTGGGCCTACCCAGCTAGCATAGCGACTGGAAACACGGTGTAGTGTCTGACATGCTCTAGCATAGATTTCTCCTTTCCGGGTGATGTAGTCGTTCATGGACTCATGTCGTTTCCGACGGGTCTGCTTGAAGTACTTCCCCAAGTACTCCGGCATCTCTGTCAACTGTGGTTGGCCTAGGTGCTTCCTAAGATGGTCCAACAAACGATGTACTCCCCCTGAATAGGAAATCCAGCCTGGCTTCATAGCCATCACGAAACGACGAGCAGTGCCTGTCAGTCCTGATTGTAAGCGAGGTCCACATAAGTAACGCTTGTGGTGGGCTACACTCTGTTCCCAATGTTGCGCCAGCTCTGAGTATTCCTGGAATGTAGCAGCATTGCCATCCCATATCGGCACTCCTTCTTTTGTTCTCTCAACTTGGAGAATACCCCGGTCCACCATGGTTCTGCAACGGCCACGCAGCGGTCACAAACGTGTCAACTGTTTCCCTGGATCTTCAGGCGGCGGAGCCCGCAGGCTCCGCTACCATGCACGGTAGCCGGGGATCTCAAGCTGAAGGGCTTATGGCACGAACGCTCGACGACGGCAATGGCAAATGCGAATGGCTAAAACGAGCTTTTCGTCCCTCGGTCCCAAATGCTTCATGAATCCACTATCGTTGAATGAACCACAAGAAGGTGTTCTTCTTGCATATATATATATATATTATATGTTGAAATGGCTACTGTCCTAGGCCTGCAATCACGAATCACGGAAGCTCTACTGTGGAGACTTAATTATGGTTCTGCTTCCAACCCTTCTCCCAGCCCACCTAGTGAAGTCATTGCATGGTCGCCACAGCCGCTGCCAAACTTGCAGTGAAGGCATTGGAAGGGGAAATGCTGTTTCAGGCAGGAGCCCCAAAAATGTAGGATCTTGCTCTTACTTACTATCAGAGTACGGACTCCTGCAACACCAACGGTGGCAGGTGCACAACCCTGAGGCCATTAAACTAGAAGCACCGAACACTGCAGTCATTCTGAAATGTGTGTGGATGGCTTACAACGCATGACTCACCCTCCATAACGGAAGAGTACAACAATGTTTGGCTTTTGGGTAGACACTAGAAGAATGTTCATAGAGGGATATAGCGTGTATGGTTCTAATGGGTCGCTGACGGCTACTCTCTTTGTCTAATTAGTTTGGTACTTCGGGCATGTGAGCAATACCATTGTTTTGGGAGCAAATCTGATCCCTCAAGCGCTTTCTGACCCCTATGCGCGCACTCTCAAGTCACAGTCAGCACAGCTGGTTTGTGGAACACAATTCTCGCAAGCTGCGCCTGAAAAAGCACAAGGGAACGCAGAGTTGTCAGCCCAGAGCCACGGTTGGCCAGGTATGATGTGGTGGGAGCTGGCACGTTTGCACCTGCCTGACAGGTCGGACAAGATATGCTCAAGCCTTCAATGAGGGTGATTCAAGATTATGTTGCACACACAAAGATCACATCCGGATGAACAAAAGGCATACTTTTGCAGGCTGAACTCAAAAGAACAACAACAATAGCAAGAGCCTGCTGTACATTTATTATATATATGCATATTACAGTATATAATCATAAAATATATATATATATCCCGCCGGGTCTACTTAAGACTGTGACACGTTTGAAGAAAAAAAAACGTTTTGTTTAAACGTTCGTACGCTTTTTTACGAAGACAACCAGTGATAGTGAACTGAAGTTGTATATATATATATATTTGTTTCCCATGTCCAGTTTGCAGTTTAGAACCAAGCGTTAACATCCCAACCCATTCAACCTTACCCTACTCTCAGTCAGTCGCATTGTGTAGCGTAGCATAGAAGAGTTTCTTATGTACTGTATGGATGTGCACCTGGAACCGAACGTTTACATCCCATCCCATCCGACGAAAACCTTTGGAATGGTGGAACAGTTCTGAAGTCGTAATTACATTTGTTTGTCAAACGACAAAAACAGGCGCGGTAAATTACATGTATTTCTTGCACAAATGTCCAAAACAAACAATTCAAAAAGCGCGCAAATTACGTATGAAAATACACGTGAGGTAAAAACACTGACAGTCTTAAGTAAATCCGTCTGGATATATTAATATATACATGTTTGTGGAAGCCTATCAACTAAGGCCCCTGACTCGCCTTGAACTCTTCCCACATCAAAGACGACAGTTCCATCGCCTACCAACTTGTGGGCTGACGTGTCACGCAGCTGCTATCCAAATCAGGTTCTGCCCGCTCTATATCTCAAGTCAACGATGGTTTAAGTAAATCTCACACCCCAAACAAGACCAAACCTGAAAGTTTGCCCGTTCTCTGATAGGTGTCTATTGGTATACAATTAACAGGTGCAAGGAACAGCCCACGCAGTTTGTGCTGATTTAGACTGGCACTCTTCAAGAACTTCAGCATTGTTGAGTGTCGATTTCAATTGCACGCACTTGAGGCCCAAGCAATGAAAAACTGGGTGGGAGGCGGGTGCACTGATTGCACTCACTTACCAACATGCTCGCTGGTGTTTTCTTGTCTCTCCCATTCACTCTCCGTTTCTCTCTCCCACCTGTCTCTCTCGTCTCTATCTCTCTCTCTCTCTCTCTTCAAAATAACTTGGTTACTTGCTCCACTTGCTCACTGACAGCGCCGCGGTATTTCTCATCTGCTGCTTCCCTTCCACCTGACTGCCCTACTGACACTGACTTCCCACCTTATCCCCCAAACTGGGTGAGCAGCACTTCACATAAGGGCTGACGTGCGTATCTCTGTGACGGTTTTTCTGGAAAACGTTTGGTGAACATAGATAACTTACAGTAATTTGGGGTCTCCCCATGTCCTCCTCGAACAAAGTTGACTTTTTTGAAACGTGTTGATACAGGCATCACTTGGGGTCGCAACTGTCGACCATTCTGGGCCTCAATCATCTGTTGTGGTTCAGCCTCTCTGGCACATGCTGAAGATCCCAGTCTGCCATTGGACATCGTGAGACATTGACCTCACAGGAAGTAAAAATCACACATAGAGGCTCTATCTAGTTTTCCGGAGGACCAGCGATCCTCTCAAAAGCGACCATCTTAGAATAGGAATTAGGAACAAGCAACAAAACATCGATTTATCATATAGAACTCAGGACAAGAAACAACATGGTCAAACATTCAAACATTATTAAACACCAGGAAAGTTGATGGAACCGTCAATAAAGTCGCGATCGTCACTCTTTCAGAAAAAAATAGCTTCCTCGGCCTCCATTGGTGATGGAACGATAGCGCCGTGTCGTCTCTGCAGCATCCGGCAACATCTCTGCCACGAAAACATCTCTGCTCCCACCTCCATTGAGCTCCAAACTCCAAACTTCGAAGCGTTTTTAACAAGCGTTTTAAACATCGTTTCTGCCAAGCTTACATTACGCTGGATGGACGCCCTTCGAACATGTTCAGCATCTTCCGGAGTCGATGTGGGCCTAAAAAGCCTAGAATTATTGCTACTAGTAGTAAGAATGCTCCTAGTAGTAGGGCCAGGAGCCCCTAGCTTCCTTGTTCCTAGTAGCGATGCCCTTTGTTCCTATTAGCGTCCTCTACCCCCCCAGGTGAATTAATCAACCCATACCATAGAATCGCGCACTGATATTTACCGCATATCGGAGAGCCAGGCTCCTCGTGATCTTTGCGAAGGCTTGCAGCATTGCTGCACATTCGAGCTGGTTTGTGCGGCACTTTGCCAAACCAGAGTCCAGTTTGCTGCAGCACTGTGGACCTCGAAGAGCAGATTCCGTGGCAGGCGCATTTTGCGAATGTGAGCGCTGCAGGCGCTGGGCTTGCGCGGGTTCGAATTCCAGCGATCGCGTGAGCCGCCTCCATCATCAATCGGACTGAGACTTTGCAAGATACACGAACACCGCAGATTCTTGTTTCGTTTGGCTGCTTAGTTCTTTTTCGAATCATAGGCTGGACAGGGCTGGGGGATCCCCCAGAAGAATCCAAATGAACGACTCATCTCAAAAGTAAAGCGGCGTATTGTACTGTTCTGGCGCAAGGAGCAGGCCACCAATAGCCAAGACGGGTGATTTCTGGAGGGGCAAACCTAAAATAGTTTGTATAGTTTATATTGCTTCAAGTAGCGAACATTGTTTCTAATAGCTTCTTGTTACTAAGGCACTTGTTACTAGTAGCGATGCACTTGCTTCTAGTAGTTTATTGTTTCTTTGCATGATATATATGTATACAAATCTAAAGCATCCGAAACAGGTGTCTTCCAGCCATGGAAAGTGGTCGGTCTAAAGCATTCTCACACATTTGCAGGGCCGTTAACATGCAACAGCTCTGGATGATTTTGGGAAAGCAGGCTGAACGCTACACCATCAAAATCACCTCCAGTGATTACAACGTCTCATCTTGGTAGTTGTACACTGAAACTCCATCGCCCTCAGCCTTCACGTAGCTGGCCATTGGCAGTCACCGATCTGCGGATCCGTGTGTCCACAGTGAGGTGAAGTTCCATGCCAGCAGCAAAGAAGAGCTCCTAACGGTTCTCGGCCCCTAGTAGTTTCTTGTTACTGCAAAATTTGCCGCAGTGGGACAAGGTTTTGCCAGAGTCTCTGACACTATGTCATGGCCCTCGTGACGCAAATTCTAGGTTGGCAAGACTCTTGAGTCGTGCACGTGAACAGGGACACACACTGGGTTTCAGGTTCAGGGTCTTCGTTTTTCACAACTAAAGCTAGGCTAAAGGGAGCGTCAAAACAATTTGTTGCACCAAACACAGGTTGTGAAACTTTGGGAACATAAATTGCACAATAGGCTGCAAAACCATCTATGTGTATAGCTGCAAGTTCATATCCGACATTGCCTGCAATCTGCTGGGTATGTTTGTACTGCTACAAAGTGAGGACCCAATTCCAAACATTACAAAAACAATGTGAAACTGTGGGTGCAATTAAAATGTCGACCGGACGCATGGCCGCCTGGCGAATTTGCGAATCCAAATCTGCGTACCGGGGGGTGACGACCTGCGGTCAAAAGCAAAAGGCGTGTCGCCGAGTTTCCCAAGGGACTCTTTCTCGCAAGGAAGTGGGACAAAAACATACATGAACAACATAAATAGCATACATTGAATTACTAAGTTCTAGTCCATTCCATTCCATCCATACAAACATACAAGCATGCATGCATGCATGCATACATACATACATACTTGCATTACATTACATCACATTACCTTACCTTACCTTACCTTACATTACATACACTACATACATTACATATACTACATACATACAAACAAACATACATACATACATTGCAAACATACATACATACAAACATACATACATTACATACATGCATTACATACAATACATTACCTTACAGTACATTACATTACAATACGTTACATAGCATTACATTACATTACATACACTACATACATAACATAACATAACATAACATAACATAACATAACATACAAACATATAAAGCATACAAACATACATACATTACATTACATTACAATACATTGCGTTACATTACATTACATTACATTACATACACTACATACATAACATATTAACATACATACATACATACATACATACATACATACATACATACATGACAACGGTTCACCTGCTATGGACTTGCAAAGAGACCAACAAGCACTTCCCTGCCCTGGGCCTTTGAACTGGAGCATGGCAACAACCTTGAGTTCTGGGCCCAAGGGCTGCTTCGGCATTGCCTGAGCAGAAGGTTGCAACAGGAGGAGCAGCAGTTAGGCCTGGGGCACATGGACTACACACGATGAGTTGCGCCTCAAAGGACAA